AAAATGCTCCTTTAAGGGACCTTACAAATAAACTTGTACTTACATGACTGTAAATATGGATATGGGTTGACATGGCTGCTTTTAAATTGTTTGATTTAAACTGTTTACATTATATTTAAATTGGTTAATTACAAAATTTGAAAGGTTAGGGTTTCAGGAAAAATTTTAGTTTAACTGATCTATTTTTTTCTTTTAATTTTTAAAAATATTTTATTTATTTATTCATGAGAGACATAGAGAGAGGCAGAGGAGAAAACAGGCAGAAGGAGAAACAGGCTCCCTGTGGGGAGCCCAATGTGGGACTCCATCCCAGGACCCCATCATGCCCTGAGCCAAAGGCAGACGCTCAACTGCTGAGCCACCCAGGTGCCCCTAAATGATTTATTTCTTAAGTCGCCGAAAATGATGGCATCCCAGAAACAACATGGGCTTGTCCCTGGTTATAAAATTCTTCTCATTCACTACACGTCGTCCCAGCACTTTTTCCACCACAAATTCTTCAGGCTCTGCTGCTTCTACTTTTTCACTCTTTCCACTCTATTTCTTTCCCATCTTTTGTAATGGAGTTTTGCTGGAGGCCGTTTTTTATCGACTTGAGCTATTAGTCACCGCCTCCAGGCTGTCCTGGGTCTGCAGTGTCTCCTTATTTGTGTTTTTAAATTTTATTGTATTTAAAATTTTAATTCCAGCTTTGTTAACATACAGTGTTACATTAGTTTCAGGTGGACAGTATAGTGATCCACGTGGGGAAAATCTTCATGACATTGACTTTGGCAAAAGATTTCCTGGATAGGACACTAAATGCACAGGCAACGACAGGAAAAATAGACAAATGGGACTTCATAAAAACTAGATGCTTTCGTGCACCAAGGACATCATTAGGAGAATGAAAATATTTTCTCCCACAGAATTTCCCTGTTCTATGGGAGGAAATATTTGCAAATCACATATCTGTAAGGGATTAATATTCAGAATATATAAAGAACCTCTATAGCTCAGTAACAACAAAAACCAAACAGTCCAATTAAAAAATGGGGAAACTTGGAAAAAAAAGGGAGAAATGACTTGAATAGACATTTCTTCAAAGAAAATATCCAAATAGCCAACAAACATGAAACAATGCTCAGCATCACACTCATTAGGAAAATGCAAATCCAAAACACAACAAGACACCACTTCACACACATTAGGATGGCTACTTCCAAAACAAGAAAATAGTAAATGTTGGAAAAGACGCAGAGCAATTAGAGCCCTTGTATGTTGTTGTTGTTGGGGATGTAAAACAGTGCAGCCGCTGGGGAAAAAGGTGTGGCACATCCTCAAAAAGTTAACCATACAACTGGCACATGATTTGGCAAGTCCACGCTGGGCCTGTACCCAGAAGAGGTGGAAGCCGAGGCTCCAAGGGTACTTGTACGTCCACGCGGCAACATCACACATGATAGCTGCAGGCTGGAAGCAACCTGAGTGTCCGTCAGGGGGTGATGGGTAAACGAAATCCACACGACAGACTATGATCTGGCCTTGAAAAGGAAGGAAGTCCTGCCACTGGCGACCTGGTGAGCCTGAGGACATGATGCTAAGCAAGCCAATCCCGCCCCAAAAGGACACACGCCATGTGATGGCACTCGCGACGTCCCAGCACCAGGAGTTTTCAGCACAGCGGGCAGGAGGGAGACTATACATCCCCTCACATGAGCAGCTGTTGACTGAGGTGCCCCATGTGACACAGAACAGGACAGCAGGTCGGGCTGCTGAGGCCTACTGGAGTGCTAGACACATGGCTGCCTGGGCATGCACAGCTGCCCACGTTCCCACGGCGTGGTCACAGCACGGCACATCTGTGTGCACCGGCGGGGCAGGTGATACCTGTACTGTGAGGCCCCCAGGCCCAAGGCCCTTGACAGACAAAGGAACAGGCCTCTGTGAGCACACTCCGGGCCTTCCTGAATACCAGCCAAGGCGGGGAGGCCACGAGTGCCTCAGGCTGTGAGTGCCTCAGTGCCACACAGCTGAGGCTCGGGGGCGGGTTTCTGTAGTGGCCCCCTTGAGAGTGACACGGCCAGCTAGCTGCCGCCGCCTCACTGTGAACCAGCACACACGGCTTCCCACCCACTACCATTCCTTTAAAAAATTGCGATGGAAAGAAAAAAAAAAAAACCTGGCTGAGGAGATGTCACGGACACAGATTTCCAAGGCACAACTCTGGAAAACGTCTTGGCTGCAGAAGCATCACGGCTACACTTGAGCCACGTTCTCCCGTGAGAGAGGAGCGTACGAGGACACTCCCAGAAACGGTGCCCATGAAAATATCAACTGTGAGTGAGAAATGCGCTCATGGCAACGGAAGAAATGCGCAGGAGGCTTTTATGGATTGGGCAGAGAGCATGAGCCCGTGGGCTTTGATTTCCGACTGCATTGTTGTCTGCTTGCTAATAAACTAGACAGCGGAGAAAGAGCCCGGATTACGCCTCGCTCACTCTCAGAGGCCTCTAAATAGGATGCAGGCCTTAATCCCCAAGAGCCTGTGTGAATGAGTGGGGTTTGCGTCTGTGGCAGCAGCTGGCCCAGCGAGCGATCTCGGCTTTCGGGGCAGGGCTGGAGGCTCGGCGGCCGTGCAGTCCGTGCAGGAGAGCTTTGGAAAGGCATTCTTTGGTCCTCATGCAATTCATTCCTTCTAAGAAAAGGAAATGGGAAGAAAGGTTTCGAGCCCAGACTTTGGGCCTTTGATCATTTGATGAACGAGGGGTCTGTGGCGCCAGAACAAAACCCTGGGCAGTGGCGCAGTGTGGTGGCCTGGGAAAGACCCACCTCAGCCGGCGAGGGGCCGCCTGCCCTTTGATCTCTCCTGAGACTGGCCGAGGCCCTAGGTCAGAGGATTTCACACTGCACACCCCCCGGGCAGAGGGGAGCAGGTCAAGAACAGGATGGGGGTGACCCATCTCAGCTACAGCCTGGAGCCTGCCTTCTGGGGCTGGTTCCACACGGCTGCGCTCCATTGTTGGACGCTGCCCACACCCGAAGTGGAATCTGACATTCCATGTGACAGTGGAGCCAGTAAATGGCAGGCTAGGGCTCGGACAATGAAGTCAGCCCCGCCCCCAGCTAGCTCTTCAGGCCAGAACATTCTTCTGCACGGCTGCTTCTTGTGAAGCCGGCCTGCACCTCTGAAAATCCAGGACACCAAAGTGACCCCCACAGAACTGAGAAAGCATCAGTGTCCACCCCGCTGCCAGCGGGGGAGCCGGTTCCATTCTGATGCAAATGCATACCCGGGGTTTATTGTGTCACATTGCTGGTCATCAACACAGGGGTCGTCTTAAACAGGAATGGCGAATGGCGATCTGTGTCCTTCGGAAGGAATTTTGGTTTAACAGAAGGGAAAGATTACATGTGCAACAGGCAGAAGGGCCGGCAGGTATAGGGGGAGAAATACAAATTCCTGTGAGAGCTCCAAACTCCCAATAATTGGAAATTTGCCAAGGAAAAGATGCCATTTGACACAGACACAGAGATATTGAATGGACAGGAAACTTGTAATTAAAAAGGTCAGGGTTGTGTTATGATCTAAAACCAAAGTACGTCACTGAAAACAGTTATCAGATCATTCGTCTTTCTGCTTTGGTTTCTTTGTTTGCGTGTTGCCAGCACTCAGCTAATTTAGGGTGCTTAAAATAAGATTTGATGGTGCAGAGCCAATGTCTTGCTGTCCCCAGCGGCCAGCCTGGGCGGCTGCACACACAAAGCAGGGTGTGGGCTGCACAGCTGGTCTGGTCCTGGTCCTCCAGTGGCTGCTTGGGTGGCATTAGGTAGGTCAAGGGTGCTGGTCCTCACGCATAAAGTGGTGGGCTACACTTGTATCTTCAAGCATGCAAATCCTCAGTCTAGAGATGTGTCCTACTTTTCTCCTTCTTTTTAACCAGAGAAAAGGGCAGTAAGGAAAATGCTTGAGAGTCGCTAACAGCTGTGCGAAAATGTACTGAATCTCATTTCTATAATCAGCATCTGCTTCTGGGCACAGGATGAAGGATGGGTATCCTGGAAGGCAGGGGCCTGTCTGTGAGGACGTGCAGCGGCGTGTGTTTGTATGTATGTGTGTGTGTACGTGCATGTGTAGGTGAAGAGAACGTCATGTTTGTGGTGAGAGAGATGGAAGGCGTGTCTACCTCGGCTGGATGTCCGTGCAAGTCCCATGGGATGCTGACGTGCACTGGGGAGAAGCAGTTTTCCCGGAGAGGCTTAGAAGTGCTGTGGGATTCCTTGGTTGTCATGGTAATTTGCGTGTGACTGTCCAAAATATGAGTCTTTCCCCGAATGTGACCGTGGAGCATGCTCCCTGTCTCTAAAGAGACACCTCACAGCTTTGGTCCAGGGACCACAATTGAGGGGCTGGATTAGCTCAGCATCCACACCTCCACGGAAGCAGAAGGGCCAGAGGGTGAGACTCTGCCCCAGGAGAAGCTCCCAGGCCAGCCCTGTGTGCACTGCTGCTGGACGTGCACCCTGTCTTCTCATTAGGATGTGTCCATGCAAATGCCAGAGTGCCGTGCGCAGCAGGGGAGGCCCATTTGTGCAGAGGCTGCGTAGGTGCAAGTGTGCTTTACCAGGCTGTTCAGGGCTTTACCAGGCCATTCAGGGAGATAAGGCCGTGCCAGGTGTGCAGACACAGCCTTACTAACAGGGAAGGCTCCTGCCAAACGCCTGATGCCACAGCACCTAAAGATCTGAAGGCCGTCTTCGCCTTGACTGCGATGTGAGCCCTATGGATGCAGCGGGGACTCAGCTAGCACCTACCGTGCACTTGGCCCAAGCGCCACACGGGCAGCAGAGGAGGAGCCTCGGAAATACCCTGCTCACTGCAAATAGTGCTCACGTGACCCAGGAAGGGGACAACAGTGGGCTAATTTCCTCCAAGGCCAAGAGGATCGCCCCCCCCCAGGTTGCCACAGCAACGCTGTCCCAGCTCAGCTGCAACAAAGCAGCCACGCTCTGCCCCTCACCTTTGGCCATCTTGTTGAGAACCATGTCGATCAGGACGTACGTGCCACTCCTGCCTGCGCCATCACTGCCAACGGAAGAGGAGAGGTGAGAACACCATCCACCACATGAACCCTACGCCCACCAAAGCCAGCAACAGTATGTGGCCCTCTGTGTTTAAGTGGGGCTCATGAGGGGAGAGGAAGGTGTAGTTTTGAGAGAAAGAGAGTGTGGGGTGAGGAAGGATCACAGGATGGGAGTGGGAGGGAAGGAGGAGGGGGAGGAGGAGGGGAGGGAGAAGAGGAAGGGGAGGAGAAGGGGGAGGAGGGGAGGGGACGCATCAGCAGCAGCAGCATAAGCAGCAGCAGCAGCAGCAGTGTGGATGAGCTATGGTGACCATGTCGATTTGCTCTGGTCTCCCTTTCTCTCCCTCTTTGGCAAATTTCATCAGAATAAAGAAAGGATGAATTTGGCTATGTCTGTGTCCAGGCTTCGCGTTGGTGGGGTATGAGGTCATCGCAGCTGTGACTGCGTGGTCCCTGGGCAGAGGGCAGGGAGCCTCCCTTCTGGGAAGGTTATGTTTAGTGAGGCGTGTGAGAGCATGTGGCCTGTGTGAGAGCATGCCCTGTGAGAGCGAGCCCCGTGAGAGCGTGCCCCGTGGGGGAGTGTGTCCCGTGGGAGAGTGTGTCCCGTGGGAGAGTGTGCCCTGTGGGGGAGTGTGCCCTGTGGAGGAGCATGCCCCATGTGAGAACATGTCCCATGGGAGTGTGCCTGCCACCAGGCTGAGTTGCTGGGAGCTGGGGACACAATTGGTGCAGCTCCTGGGCTGGAGGGGCTCCATGTCAGGGTGGGGAAGGACATGAGCAGCACCCGGACACTGGGCAGAGGCTCACAGGCTTTACAGGGCCCTTGGAGCAGTGGCTGTAGGAGCTCCCGGGACAGGCCCAACCTGTAAGTCCCTGTGCATAGCCCGCTTGCCACTCTGTCCCCGCCACCCGCCTCTATGGCTGCTGTGATGCCAACACACACCCAGCGACCGCCATGGCCACAGGGACACTTGTGCCCTGGGCTGGGTCCTCCACTCTCCCAGGGCCCGCAGCCTGCTTGGGTCCTTGGCACAGACCACGCAGGAGCACAGACAAATGCCCCAGCACACGGACACACACACATGGACACACAGAGATACACACAGGGATACGGCACATGGACACACATACACAGACACAGATACATGGACACACACATGGACACACACCACATACCCCAGCACACGGACTCCCACATGGACACATATGGGCACACACCACATGCCCCAGCACATGGACACACACACACGGACACAGGCAGGGACATGACACACACATCATTGCACACGGACACACACAGACACACAAAGAGACATGCCACATGCCCCAGCACATGGACATACACACAGACACACACAAATGGACACACATGGACACACACCCAGCAGACACACACACGGACACACACTGACAGACATATGGACACACACCCAACAGACAGTTACACCCCCACACATACTCACATACACACCTGATAGATACACACACCTGCAGTTACAGACACCGACACACACACCCCCTCCACAGATATAGTTCCATGCCGCACACCCTGACGCACAGGCCCTGGTGTCTGATCCTTGGAGACAGATTTCCTTTCTATCTCAGCAGGAAGGAACATCTGCACAACTGTCCCACAGCACAGAGTGTGGCTCTCCACCCAAGCACAGTGGGTGTGAAGCGCAGTGGGGGTGATCCCTGGGGGAAGGGGGCACCTGGACAGGGAGTTGTGAGCAGACCTCTGCTTATGGGTGTGGGTGCGACATGCCTGAGGAGCCCCCAGATTGTACCCAGAGGCCAGGCTCACGCACCACCTGGGGGCATCCCTGTGGCTAATGGGCCCCAAGCGTGTCTCGGCATCCGGGCTCTACACCTCAGCTGAGCCAGCTCGTGGCTGCCACCGCGCCACTGGTCAGCACTACCGTCTCAGGGCTCTGTGCGGGGGCAGCAGGAGGCCCGAGCAGGCACGCGGTGGGTGGACCGGAGCGCTGGGCAGCCAAGGGCAGTACCCTGTGGGCAGTACCCACGTGGCGCCCGGCCAGGCAGGTTGTGCAGGCCCAGCCTGCAGCATGCATGCGGCACGTACACGGCATGTGGCCAAACTGCCGCCAACACCCCATCTGTGTCCTTGCTTTCCCTCAGAAGTGCCAGGAAGGTGCATTTATGAAGCAGTGAGAAAGCTCGACGTGCATATTTAACTGTGGCTCCTTCTGAGGTAGCGAACACTGGTGAATCCACGTAAAAGTCGTACTTGCCTGCAGTGAACAATTATTGGACAAGAGCGGCCCCTGTAGCACTTGTTTACTTTTCTGAAACAGAAAGAGACAGAAATCACAGTCATGCACTACGACCCTTGTCTTCCTTGTCTTACGTCTTGCAAAATAACTCCTAAGCCAAAACAAATAGATTGTATCTTTCACATTGTTTTGTAATAATAGCCTGTTTTGACAAAGCAAATCAAAATTACACACACATTTTCAGAGATTTAGTTTTCTTTTTCGATATTAAAGTATTAAACAGAGCTTTAAAAACATTTCTGACATTTTCACAATTTCCCTTTCATTTTCCAGGGGAGAACCCGGGGCCTCCATCACCAGCCTCCACCCCCCCACCCCCCCACTAGGCTGCTGTTCCTGGGCTGCTGCTCCACTTGCTCGGCTGGGCTGTTGGGTGGTGACATGAGTATCTAGATGCTTTGCTACAATTGCTAAGTGTTGCAATTTATGTTCAAAATTTCTTACATTTGAGACATCCTACTGGAATGTAATATGACTCTATGGTCTCAAAACTGCATCTTAAAGGTCTGTTTGATCCTTTCTTTTGGTTGCAGCTCTGAATTGTGGAGAAGCCACAGAGACAAGTCCTTCCTTTGTATAAATCTGCATATGTTTACAAACAACTCTGTTATGCAGATTTTAGACCAGAATTTATGAAAATTAACAATAAGCATAGATTATTTTGTAAACAAGCCCCAAATCAAAACAAAGCACTGATTTAAAATTCACTGGATAAGCTCCAAAATTGTTTTTTTTTTCCCAAAATTTTTTAAAGCCAGTGACACCAGTAAACACGTTTGCAATGTACATGAAAATTTTTGGTAAGATATTTCTGAATTGAAAAAAGTAAATGGAAAAAAAAGTGTGCAAGGGCTGTGTTCTAAAATGCTCCATGTTAATTTCTACCATGTATGACACGAAGCAAAATTCAAAACTAGAATGACGGTGCAGAAAAAAAATCTTTGTCCTTGCACCAGACACAAGAACACGTCCCATTTCTCTGTGGAGATTTGCCCACCCGGCACCGAGGGGTCAGCGGGAAGTGCACATGCTGTCATCGGGTCTCGAAGGCCCAGAGCTGAGAGGGATGGCAGGCAGCAGGGAGGAGGGAGCTGGCAGTGGGCCTGGGCGCCCAGTGGGGACCGTCACGTCTGCCTCCAGAGCACGGCTGGTTGTTTCCAACTCTCCTACAGAGTGAGGTCCACAAGCTCCCAAATGGCAGGACGGGAGCCTGGGTGTGAGTGCCCCTAAGATGGGCCACACTATCGCCCCCCAGGGCGGCAGGCCATCCCTGGCTGCCTCCTGCAGCATCTGCAGCTTGCGGGCCACCCAAAATGTCTTAAAAATGAGCAGACCCAGAAATGTGGATAAAACAAGCTGCTCTGTGTCCCTGCGGCCACATCACTATGTCTGCTGGAGCTTTCTCTTACTTCCAACGTACACCACAATGTTGGGGTTTGGGGGAAAAGTGAAGGAAGTACAAGCAAATTTGCTAAAATCAGTGGTGTGCCAGAATGCTGTAAAGGTTCTGGGGCCTTGGAGAATAAAACAGATTGGAAAATACATCCACGAATTTCTCCTAAAACCTCCCATTCTTTGGGGCGCCTGGCTGGCTCAGTCCCTGGAGCGTGTGACTCTTGATCCCGGGGTTGTGAGTTCCAGCCCCAGGTTGGGGTAGAGATTACTTAAAAATTAAGGAAAAAAAATCTTAAAACTCGCATTCTTGACTCACGTTGTAAAGGCAACATGAGCTTTAGGTCTGACAACATAGACGCCAGACCCCTAGGATGTACCTGATACATGGGTGGCCTGAGGCCCACCAGCTCAACCAAGGCCATGTGTGCCCATGGGCTATCGCCCTGTGTGTGCCTGTGTACACACGCACTATTCTGTGTGCTTGCCCTCTGTGTGCCTGTGTGTGCTTGCCCTGTCCCTGTGTGTGCACATGTGCTGTGTTCCTGTGTGCGCTTGCCCTGTGTGTGCCTATGTGTATATACGCACTGTGTGCCTGTGTATGTGTGTGCTCGCTATGTGTGCCTGTGTGCACACGTACTGTGTGTGTGCTCGCCCTGTGTATGTCTGTGTGTGCACATGCACTGTTTCTGTGCACGCACACCCTGTGTGTGCCTATGTGTGTATATGCACTGTGTGCCTGTACATGTGTGTGCTCACCCTATGTGTGCCTGTGTGTGCCTTGTATGTACCTGCCATGCGTGTGTACATGTGCAGAATCCAGCAAGGTCAGGGGCAGACTAGATCAAGGGCAGCTTTATTTCTGTAGGGCCTTTGACATTCACACAAAAGACTTTACTAGAAAGCTGTCAGGCGCTGAAGGCTTTAGGTGAGCACCTCCACCATCCTGTTACATTCACTCTCGGCCATCCAGGCCACGTCCGGACTGGCTAACCTCAATGTGTGCCTGCTCGCACGCTGCTCAGTCCCCAGATTTTGGTCATTTTTGCTGATGGGGCCAAGCACAAAAGTAGCACAATAAAAAAAAAGACCAGCCCGTGCACAGCCGGGCAGCCCCATTTCAGGTCAAGTGCATTAAGGGTCACCTTCCTGGCAAAGAGATTCGGCCCACAAAGGAGTCCTGGCATCTCTGGCTGCAAGCCACCCTCCTCTCCTGTGCTCCCTGCCCTTGCGTCACACAACATTTAAAACAGTATTTCCTCCAACACGCTGAGACTGGCTGCCTCGGCAGGACCCAGGGAGGCTCCACGCCAGCCCCGCCCCGGCTCAACCCATGTGCAGACAGCCACAGGCCATCCAGGAGCCACGCGGTGCAAATACCATGTGCTGCCGGGGTTCAGAATTTAATTCACAAAGAATCAGGTGCTGGTATTTATTACAATGGAAACCATCACAAAGAGAAAAGAAAAAGCATCACATAGTCAACAAAAGCGTTCACCTGGTTGACCCCAGATAGAGATGCAGATTATTCATGGAGATGAGCAATACACAGCTGTCTTGTTTTACGCGATTAGCACAAATCAGCAGTGAGCAAAAGGTTGAAAACATGAAGAGAAATGGATATTATATATATTTCAACAGGAGGAATTCACTGAGAAAGAACGGTTAGTAATACAAACCAACCCACGGGTCACTGAGTGAGAAGGACCGTCATGCAACCAACCGCAAGCAAAGGTCAGAGGTCGTTAGAGGCTCAGACAGGGGGCTTCCCACACTGCCCTGCAGCAGAGTCACAGCCTCCAATGATCACTTTTGTGACTATGCAACTGGGCTCATATTACTAGCTGCAACATCACAAAAATGACACTGGCCACCGCTCATTAGCTGGCAAAGTAAGGGTCTGTCCATGTCTACAGGGATCAGCGTTGTGAGTGCCGCTGCACACAGCAAGAAGTGAGAGAGAGAGAGGGAGAGAGAGAGAGAGAGAGAGAGAGACAGAAAGATCGAGAGAATCCGTAAAAGCAAAGCCCTCACATGTGATGCTAATTATCTCTTGGCTTTAGCAGCTTCTCTTTAAAGTGTAAATACGCTCCCTCTGGGCTCCAGAAGTGTGTAATTACACGTCTCAATGCCTGACGCACACACTGGCCAGAGCACGGGGAGGCTGGGCGAGCGTTTGGGGCGGGGGTGGAGGGAGAGACCTGCGGGGAGGGTGACCAGTGTCTTCGGAAGCCGATGCCCCTTTCCGATTGCTGGACTTTGGGTGGCTCTTTTACACAGAAAACCGCAAAGCAGCAATCTGTGCCTGGTGTGATGCTCCTGAGAACGCGCCTGCTCACGCCCATTGTCCACGGCAGGCAGGCCGGCCTGGATGCTGGGCGTTGCCAAGTATGGCAAGCAAGCCAGGCTCTCGGTGCTAGCAGACTTGCAAATTCCAATTTAATAAAAATCTTTTGGAGCCTTATCTCCTAAGCCTCTGGGGAAAGGGAACTCGGGAGTCCGTGTTTCTTCATGACAGGTTGTAAGCACAGAGGGTTGGTTGTGTATTGTTCAGATCCATATATGGATATGGGTTTCGGCATCCACCCATATGCATATATGTACAAACACACTGGATGAGCGTAAAGACAGGGGTTAAGATGAACTGCTATCTTTGTAGCTGCATCCATTTTGCCAGTAATGACTGTTTCTTGAAGATTCTATCTCAGGAAATGTGCCCTGGGTTAAGATTTTTAGATAGCGAGTCTTTGAAATAAATTTGTATCAAGAAAAGGTATATAACAGCCAGGACACTGGGATGGATTGAGAGGGAGCTCTGTGTAGTCAGTGTTTGGGGATGCGTTCAGGACTTGATGCATTGTGCGTGCTCTGCCTCTCCAGGCTGAGATGGTGGAGCAGGGCTGGGGCGGGGGGGGAGGGGTTGTCACCGAACGTGCACCATGGCTGTGATGCCTCATGCATGTCTCTCCGTGAGCTCTTTCACATGCTTTATGATCCAAAAAACTATTCAAATAAAACATTTGTTTTGCTTTTCAAAGTAGACTAAAAGGCAAAAGAAACAGTATCACGATAACTTTGAGAATGTCTAACACACAAATTCCAGAAATCCAGAGAGAAGCCTGAACCCCCACTCCCTCGAGCGACACAGCTGCAGACTCAGGGATGGGTAACTGTTCAGGCACACCTCACTTTGTGATTGCGCACAATACTGGATTAAGGTGAGTTCTATTTCCTCGTCCTTGTTTTGGGTATTTGCGTTTGTTATGGGGCAGGTTTCCATTGGTCAAACGTGAGAGAGGCTCTACAGGCCTTGCTGCCCAACACCTGCCCCCTCTTGGCAGTTGCTCATTCTTTACCATGTGCAACAGCCAACGCCGACCACTGTGATCACCGCATCCAATGGACAAATTTCCCTTAACCCCCCCCTTTTTTTTTGCCTGGTCAGTATCTTCCCAGAAGATGGAGCTCAGCATCCCTCTCAACAGTTCCATAAACCCACTTTAATCCGAGACAGCCTCTGGGGGTGATGGGCTGACCCTAGTGTGAACAGGGGTGGGATGTTTTCAATTGTCCGCTTTGATACTGCACTAAAATCTGCAGTCGTGCGCTGACTCCATACAGCTCTCCCCTGAGGTCTAAGGTCACCGAGGCTCGTTATCATGTCCAACCACATAGTATCCAAACTAAGAATCTGCCTTTTCCTCATCAGGCTATGAAGCATGAACTTTGGGACTCTACTGCTCAAATAATCTTATCAGAAATAATGACCACATTTATATAATTCTAAGGATCTGCGCACTCCCCCCCCCATTTTAACGCTTCTACAACCAGAAAACATCTTGCAGTTAATATGCACCGTTAGTATACTCTCCTTCCCCTCCGCTTTCCTATATATGATGTGGATACAGGTGACCCTCGAACAGCATGGCTTTGACCCACACTGGTCCGCTTGCATGGGAATTTTTTTTCGATAAATACAGGATAGCACTGAAAATGTATTTTCTATTCCTTGTGATTTTCTTCGCAGTTTTTTTTTCCTCCAGTGCACTTTATTGTAAGAATACAGCATATAATACACAGAACACATAAAATACATGTCCACTGACTTCTGATGTTATTGGCAAGGCTTCCAGTCGACAGTAGGTTATTCGTAGTTAAGTTTTGGGGGAGTCGAAGGTTAAACATGCCTGTTCAGCTGTGTGTGTGTGGGGGGTGGTGTCTCAACCCCGTGTTGTTCAAGGATCAGCTGTATAGTCACAACACGTAAATTTCAAACAGAGGGCGTTATCTTCCAGCAAATGGCCTCTCAGACATGGGAGGTGACAGACCACATTCCCTCCTACCTGACACCCACACTCTCATAAACGCATGACCCTGCCAAGCGTGCTGTTTGTCATACCTGCGGAAATCCAGGAGGGACCTCGCGGACGAAGGCACTCCCTGGTCATACCAGCTCAGGAAGTGGAACTGGGTCACGGTGCGTGTCTCATTGGTTTGAAGGTTCTTCAGATAGAAGCTCCTCACGAGGAAATCCTCACACCAGATGTGCTCAGACACCAGGTTTACCTGGGCAGGAGGATAGGGGGGCATCGGGAATGTAAAGCATTGTCTGAGTACAGGGGCCACATGGGGGAGCGGAGGGCGAGGGCTGCAAGGACGGCCTGAGGTTGGCCTGTGGGTCAGCAGCTGCTTAGTGGCCCTGCCCACTGTTTCCATTCTAACATGCTTTAAGCAAAAGATAACTGTGGTTTTTAATGTCACCTTGGTGCACCAGCCAAACTATTAGAAAACTGTTACCACCCACAACTACATCAGCTTTCATCTTTCGTACCTCTAAGCTATATAAACCTTCTAGAAAAGCTGCACTATTGAACAAAAACCCTAGTGGCTTCCACTGTAACTGAAATCCCACTGTAGGTGGTATCACTTAGAGGTGGAGGGGATACCACCAGATTCACACAGACGGGGGGACCCGGGCTGCTCAGGGTCTAGCCTGTTCTCAGCGGCCTAAAAGCCACGACTGCGTGATTTAGGATTAATCTTCACACTTCCACCCAGGGACTTTGGCATGCTGACTAATTTTTAATGCAAAACAATGGATGCGTGCTGGCGTGGGCTGAACTGCCCGAGCTCACTCAGGACATCATTGGTGTGGGTGGAAAGTCCAGCAGGAGCAGTAAGCTTGCCAGTGGGTGACCCTCGACGAAGGTCAGACCTACAGGCACAGAGCCCTGAACGCCGCGAGAGGCATGGCACAGGTGGGGGCCCCAGAGTTCTTCACGTACCAGCAGGGCTCTAAAACAGACCCACTGATGGCCCATCACTCAGGGCCTGGCTCAGTGGGCCTCCCCGTAAATGTAATATGAAGGTAAATGTTTTTTTTTTTTTTTGATTCTTTCTGTCTGGATTTGGAATCATACAATTTAAAAAATGAAGGCCACACTACTTCCACCAGAGCTGTTTGGAGGGTCTGGGTATCTACAGCCTTCCCAGGGTCGGGGGCAGCTCCAGGAGGGGATGCTCCTATTCTCTGCCATCCTACAGGCAGGCGATTTGGGGAGTACCTCGTAGACATGGTAGAGGTTGGAGCCTTCATCTGGCCAGTAGTGGTAGCACTGCCGGACACCGTTCTCCGAGAGGGGGGTCAGCATGACGATGACCACGCAGCCACTCTCCCACACCATCTGCAGACAGAGAAAGGCCCGCGGCCACAGTGTGATGGGTGGGTTCCCACACAGCACGTGTGCCCCCGTGCTCACCATGCAGGCCGGCTGTGCTCCGCGCAAACAGCTCTTTCACCAGACAGCTTCCCTCCAGAGTGGGCCCCACATCTCTGAATATGCTGGCCCCAGAGTTTCCGCATCCCATGAGATGTTCAACCACCACCAGCACCACCATGGATTCGTCCCTTGCCTTTTAGGACCTTTTACGATCCCCACTCTGTGGCTTGGCTTCCCACCTTGGCGAAGGGAACTCTGTACAACAAACAGACAACCCAGACTCTGGTGCTTGCCCAGCAGCGGGTGGGTGGTCAGGTGGGCACTGCTCTGGACACGGCTGCCCCTCTACGCCTCTGTGCGGGCTGAACCTGGTCAATGTGATTGTCTTTTGGTCGTTGTCCTGATTCTGGATGACTGGAAAACCATTTTGCTCTGTGAGGCTGCCGTCCTACTGGAAGGCTTTCCTGCTACAGGGAGCAGTTTCAGGGTTGGGGTTTCACTTACGCACACACAACACAGCCGTGCTCTTCTCTGAAAACAGAATCCAGTTAATAATTTGTGGTAGCTCCCTGCAGAGCATCTCCCAGACATGGTGAACTAACGGACGTGTATCCACAGGTAGACAGGGCAGCCACCGAGGCCTCCATGGGCCCTCCTTGCCAGTCTGACTCCTGGCCCTGGGGCTGCGGCCCTGCATACTCATACTTGGAGCATAACCCCCAACACCGTTCATCCTACGGGGCATGCTGAGGTGGCCCCACAGGCTCGTATTAGCGTATTATTAAATTATATAGTGAAGAGGAGTCAGCTTTTCTGTGGCAGGTTATAGTGACTCCATGGCAATATTTATAAGCAACCGCATTTAGATGTAAACTTAGGATCTAAGGGAGCGTCTGTCTTTTAAAGACAGATATAACAATCCAATTAAAATCTTGTCGTTAAAAAAACCCCCCACATCTCAAATATAAAATGCTTTTCCTTCATAGTTCACGTTATTAAATAACCCCCTTTAAATTATATTTTAAAGAGAGACACGTCTATGATGTTTCCCCCCTTGAATATTGATTTATACACCCATGTGATAGGAATAGTTGATGCCTTTTCGGCACCGCATCGTGTCCTGTTTGTGCTGGAATTTCATGGAGGTTGCTGGTGTTTATGAAACAGCCCGCAAATAAATACAAATTATGCCCAAACCCGTACACCTTCATTTATCCTTAGTGCAAAGCCAACGCCAAGATGAGAATTCAAAGCATGCGTCTCACTTGCAGCTTGCAGGCTGTCAAGCCAGCCCCACTAAATTGGCCCTTCCAGAACATAACAATTTAATGTGTCTTTAGAAGGTGGAGAAGCTCATTGAAGTCATTACGAAAATGAGGAGAAACACAGATTTTATGAGTGTAATAAAAATACAATGATCTAGACCATAAACTAATCATCTAACACTCTGCGTGTGCCACCCAAGTGTGACATTAGGAAGCCCCTCATTTGAAGAGGGGTCCTCCCAACCGGGCAGCCTGCCTCATTGGTCCGTGCACGCAGTCCCTCCATGCAGGAGCCCGCCCCAGCTCTCTGAAGACTCAGTTAAGATTAAATTCAAATGAAAATTTAAACAAACAATCCCAAAGGCACTCCTGGGGATATTTCTTTTCAGGTCACTGTATCTAAGAGCAGAGAGGGGGATTTAGTAAATCAAACAAACAGGTGGCCCACTCGGGCGCCAACATTACAAGGCATGGCTCTGAGTGTGTCCATGTGCAGGGCCTGAGTGGGTGTGTAGGGCGCTGGGGGTGTCCTCGCTGCACTTCCCTCTGGCTGCCACCCATCGCGTGCCCCCAGCTGATCTTCACGACAGGCTGAGCACAGTGACTGTGGGTTCTGGTGGGCTCCAGGACGCCACAGATCAGTTTATTGATTTATTTATTTTTTGCAGATTTTATTTATTCATGAGAGACACAGAGAGAGAGGCAGAGACACAGGCAGAGGGAGAATGAGGCTCGCTGTGGGGAGCCCGATGTGGAACTTGATCCCAGGACCCCAGGGTCACACCCTGAGCTGAAGGCAGATGCTCAACCACTGAGCCACCCATGTGCCTCCACAGTTCAATTTCAAGACAGGGACAAGTTTCTCTGCTTCCTCTCCCCCAGGGCAGCACCCCTTCCAGGAAGGGCTGTTTGTGTGTCTCGTCTTTGGGAAACCCCAATCCTTCTCTTCTAGGAAGCAGCTACCCACCCAGAGGTCCCACTGGATCTCAGAATCGAGGAGGTTTGCTGAGCGAATGAGCTAAATGTGTGAATGCCAGACATGGTGATTCCAACAGCACTTTTCTGGTCATCTCCTGGTTTCCAGAGTGCCCAGCACTGAGTCAGGAGACTCAGAGGCGAGTAAAGGTTGCTGCTGAGCATGGGGTGGGGACAAGCATCCTGCGGCCCTAGGCGTCTGTAGCCCTGCCCACAGCTCCCCTCATCGGGTGTCAAGTGGGTCAGTTCCCACCCAGGAAGCAGGTGCTCCCATCCCTGATGGAAACGAAGCCATCAACAGATTAGAAGTGAGCGGGATCCTGGGGCCCCGAAGCACACCAGTGCTGCACTCGGGGAAGCCCCGCCAGTCCCCCCTTTCTGCTGAGCATCCTCTTAGATGCACCAGTGCCATGCCTCAGGAGCCCCCCGGTAGGGCCAAATGCCAGGGGCAAGGGTCAAGGCGGCCTTTGGTGTTTCTGGTCCCTGGCAGCCTCTTTCTGGGCTGCAGGAATGGATGTGGTCTGCTTGGTGTCATACGCCACCACCTGCTGCCGATGCTCAGGAGCCCGCCCAGGACATACTCTCCATGCCAAATCGTTGCCCACAGGGACCCACGCGTGGTTTTCAGCACCAAGCTGGAGGGTAAGTGAACACCAAGTGGCTCGGGTGCTTTGGCTGCTATTCGACCCAACTGAGTAAGTTTATGGACTTGAAAAGAAATGCCATATTGCTTGTTGTTATGGGCTGAATTCTGTCCCCACCGAGAATATATGTTAAAGTCCTAACCCCTGGGACCTGTGAATGTGACCTTATTTGGAAAGGGGGTTTCAGCTGATGTCGCTTAATCAGGAGTAGTGTGGCCTTAATCCAACATGACCGGGGTCCCTATAAGAAGAGGGAAACCCTGTGCCAAGATCCATACGCAGTGGGAAGCCTCGGGGATGAATGAGGCAGAAAGCCAGTGACACGGCCATGGCCCAGGCCAATGAGGGGCCCCAGACACTGAGAGGACAATGCCCCTCCCAGCACTCAGAGGAGGCACACCGCAGCCACCGCCACCTTGATTGCAGGCTTCTGGCCTCCAGAACTCTCAGAGAATACACACCTGGTGTTTGAAGCCCCCTGGCTTGTGGTAAATGGTTAGGGCAGCTCGAGGAAATCATACGGCTGACCCCTGGACAACGCGGGGATGAGGGCGTTGGCCCCTGCACGGCGCAGAATGCATACTTAGCCTCTGACTCCCCAAAGCTGCACTGCTAAGAGCCAGAGGTGCTGGAAGTCTTACCAATAACATATGCAGCAGATTGACTAGTATCTGATCTGTTATACACCTGTTGTCTGCTATGTTCTTACAGTATAAGCTGGAGAAAGAAAGTATCATTAATAAAATCGTACAGAAGAGACACTATGTTTGCAGAGCTCCCGGCAGACACGTGTGTAGTGACCCCAGGCAGCTCAGCCTGGCTCCCGCCTCAGCTGTGCTTGCTGCCAGCGGTGCCCGAGCACAGGCCTGCCAGCTCCAGGGCACACACAAGAACTGGACTGAGGTAGGTGGAAAGAAACCTCGCTCTGTTCATCCAGAGTCTTTCTTGAGTGCTAACTATTCAACAAACCTGACTCTTTCAAAGCCCTGCTGAGACCTGATGAGAGGAAGGAGGACCCCTCCGAAATTGCAGCGGCCCAGGCCATGTTCTGTGTCAGGCACCTGGTCCCTCTGGGCATGAAGCCTCTTCCTTTACCTAGACCTCTTGTGATGCATCCCTTTCTCCCTCATACCGTCTTTATCAAGTGCTCCTGTTGTTCTCCCACCAGGCTGGCATCTCCGAGATGACCAGATGTTGGTCTGGGCACTGTTTCCACCTCCTACGGCAGCCAGGATGGTGATTTATTACAGTGGATGCTCAGTTGAAAACAATACGTATGTTTAAAAGAGACTATTTGGGGCAGCCTGGGTGGCTCAGCGGTTTAGCACCGCCTTCAGCCCAGGGTGTGATCCTGGAGACCCAGGGTCGAGTCCCACGTCAGGCTCCTTGCATGGAGCCTGCTTCTTCTCCCTCTGCCTGTCTCTCTCTCTCTCTCTCTCTCTGTGTCTCAATAAATAAATAAAATCTTTAAAAAAAAGTAAGAGACTATTTGAATATTTCTTTAAAAAGAGAAAACTCAAAGAACGTGCTGTCAAAGCATGCCTGGAAGTTCTCTCAGGACCTGCTTAATGGGCAGAAAAGCTTTTTTATTTTTTTAAGTTTTTTTTTTTTTTTTTTTTTTTTTTTTTAGCACATAAACCATTTGCGTTGTTGGAGCTGCTGGTATGTGAGGCAGCTGGCTCTTCCCTGGAGCAGGCTTCACATCCCCCTGCAACCCTTACTGTACCGTGTGCTTCTGCAGCAGACTTATTTTTATAGGTTGAATGGAGATAATCTGAAGTCTGGCCCTGAGGAGGCTGACTCATATTTTAAAATAATAAGGAGTCAGTTAATGAGGTTTAATAACATTTGCATTTTGCTCCTTCTGAGCTCACTGACATCACTCTGCTCTCATGGGGTCGGAAATAGATCAAGTGAGGAGAGAACAAGTGTCTGTGATGCCTTTTACAGTGGGGACCCCCAGCCTGCCCTCCCCCTGCCCCAAACACCCATTGGGTGCACTGTAGCAAGCCTCCTGAGGCTGCAGAGGGTCGTGGGCATGCATCAAACCACACACTCTGAGGAGGATGGTCGAACTGGG